TGCCAGCCCAGGTCTCAAACCTTTAGTGCCTTTGAACTCCAGGCTGGGGCCCTGTGGCCTTCGGGATCCCTGCCTTCCCTCTTTCCTATTTCCTCCTCCCCTCCTCCTCCTCAAACTCTATCCACCCACAAGAGGATGTGACATTGTGGAGGGAAGGAAGATTACCAGTTTCTTGCTTGGGAGAATACTAAAACGGGATATGAGAAGGGGACAGGCTTGGAGAAAGTTGAGGAGCTCTTCCGCAGCCTCAATCCTGCCTCCCCTACAAGGTCTAGCTGAGAGCAGCCGGGGCTCTCCCATCCCCCTTGGAGGGTCTGCCCTCTGCCCTGGGACTCCAGGGGAGCTATTGAGCCTCAGAAATCCCCTTTCTGGTCTGTAGAGAAAAATCATGTGAGGACTTGGGGTTTGGCGCCACCTTGTGGCAAGTTCAGATTTTTTTGTGCCTGGGCTTTCCAAGCTCCTGAGGGTGATGAGGATTCTGAACAACACAAAACCTTTCTCTTCTTCACCCAGGATTGCCTTGTTTCCTACAGAGGGAACCCAGATCCTGCCCCAGGGAGAGATGAGAATACTGGAGAAGCCAGATAGAGCTGCATTCAAAGGCTGACCCACCTCATTTCCTGACCCGTCCCTAACTCCATCTTCCCAGCTGAAATGGGAAAATCAGTATTTCCTGCCTCCCTCTCCTGGAAGTTGAGAGGCCCCTCTTGAGCAGTGAATTGCACCTTGAAACCCAGCACCCCCGCAAGTCTCCCTTAAGTTGCTGTTGGCATAAAGGAGGCCCCGTCTGGGCCAACTGATCTGGGCCAACTGGTCTGGGCCCGGAGAACCCAGGCTGGGGCAGCAAATCGGACCCCTCCTGGGCCCCTCCCTGAGTGCTCATTCTTCTCTGAGGGGAGGGGATCCATTCCATGCCTCTTCCCTCAGAAGAGCCCAGCCCCGTGGCTCTCTGGGGACAGGGAATCGGCGGGGAGATCCTGTTCTGTCCCAGCCTTTCTCTAGCCACACAGCGACCTAGAGCTGTCTGCATGCATAGGAGGTAAGATGAATCCCTAGATGAACAACTACAAAGAAAAATAAATGTGATTACCACAAAGTCCAGGGAGGGGAGACACACATCAGAGGGTGGGGCTGCTTCTGGTGTCCTGGCTACATTCTGTTTCCTCGCCCAGGCGATGGAGGGCTCCACGGCTGTTCGCTCTGCAAGTATCCATTCACTAAGCTCCATGTTTTAAGTATTTTTCTGTCTGTGATATAATTCACAGTGGAAGAGGAAGATCTAATCACATCTTACACTGAAAACTCTCCCATTGTTTCAATTGCTTCCCTTGGTAGAAAGGTCAAAGGGCACACACAGGGATTGCAGAGTTATTGAGAGGAGGTAGAAATGATACACTAATCCCCTAGGTGGCAGGGGTAGGAGGTGTGGGGCATGAGGGGAAGGGGGTGTTAAGCTGATGTCAGTGGGTTCAGTTTCACTGCTGAGAAGAATGAGGTGCTTGGCCGCAGCCCCCGTACAGAACCCCCTCCCCATACCCTCATCCCCACCACCATTTGGCCCCCAAACCAACCTCCTAATGGACTTCATTAAAACGCAGCTCTAATAACCCCACCCCCCTCTCCAAATTCAGCCAAGGCTTCCCACTGCTTTTGGGATGAATTCTAAGCTCCTTTCCTGCCAAGGAGCCCTGCAGCTCCTGGCTCTTGCCAGCCAGGCCCCTGTCCTCTCTGTCCGGCTCAGCCTTCTCTAGTCCTGGAACCTGGCAGTGCCCTGACCTCCCAGCATCGGCCTCATTCCCTCGCTTTGTCCCCCGAGCTCCTTAGCTAAAGGCAGCCTGCTCCGACCCCAGCTCAGGTGCGGTCCCCCAACCCCTTTTATCCCAGGGCCACCCCTTAGCTCTGCGCATTCGTGACACTACACACAGTGTGATGTCTGCTGCTTCCCTCAGACTGACAGATGCATGAGGACAAGGAAACTGGTGGAAGCTTTACCGTTGGACATGGAGCCCCCGGGGCAGGGCAGGGCTGCAGCTGGACCCCAGAAAGCCTCAGCTCAGAACAACTGATTGGCTTTCCTCCTTACAAAAGGGAGCAGGAGCCCCTGCACCCTCCACCCCTCAGCTAGGAGCCTGCTCACCTCAGCATGTCCCCCACACCCCCTACACACACACAGCTTCACTACTCCATGCAAAGGCAGAAGGAGAGAGCCTTTTCATTAAGCAGAAAATTTTCCTTCCTCCTTTTTCTCATTGCCATGGAAACGGCTCTTCCTTCACCTAGCCTGTCAATTATGGTTCTTAAGGAAGGGGGTGAAAAGCCACAAGCAGGGAGGGCATTCACTCATTCCTTCCTGATGCTTGATGAGACCACGTAACCAAGGGTTGAGAGTTCAGGTGTTAGCTCTGGCCAGTGTGGCTCAGTTGGTTGGAGCAGGTTTGATTCCCAGTCAGGGCACATGCCTAGGTTGCAGGTTCAGTCTCAGGTTGGCATGCACGCAAGAGGCAACTGATCGATGTTTCTCTCCCCCATCAGCGTTTCTCTCCATCTCTCTCTCTCTCCCTTCATTGTCCTCAGCTGAGGGTAAAAAATTTTAAAATTGATAAAAAAAATAGTAAAAGAATTCAGGTGTTAGAGTCAGACATCCAGGCCTTAGGTTTCTGCTCTGACTCTTCCTTCCATCCTGAGCAAGACACTTTACCCATCGGTCTCTGAGTGTTGTCATCTGAAAGGGGGATAAAAATAGCGTCCACTTCACAGAGTTGCCTTGAGGAGGAAAGAAGAATAAATCCATACACTTAGCACATGCATCATAAGGGCCGGACAGTATAAGCTGTTGTGTTGATGAACGTGAAGTGCCAGGCATTCAACAGGTACTGAGAGACAATTGTGGCAAGACAATCTAATTTGAGAGACTTGTTTCGCTTTCCCTCGTCTTTCACTTGCTCTAGTGTTTCCCTTTCCCTAGTCTTTACCCCACTTTCAATTCAGTTTTCCTTAAAATAACAACCCTTGCTCTCTGCCCCTCCTATTTCATTGGTAAAGACCATGAATTAAATTCCCTCACTGCAAGAACAAACACTGCTGGCGTGAACAGGCTTGGGAACAAACACTGCTAACGCACGGGAAACAAACCACTCGACTAGGGGACAGAGGTGAAACGGGCAAACTGGAGCGGTGAGCCATTGCAAAATCAATGTGGTAGGTTGCCACCAGTAATTTTTTTAATAAAATAGATAAAATATCAAGGATATTACACGTAGTTGAGTGTTGTTGCGTATGTAATGGTTTCCATTACATACGCAAGTGTGTGTGTGTGTGTGCCTGCGCACACATGTGTATGTTGGGTGTCTTACTGGGCACGGGTCTCCTGGAACATGACATCCCTGTGCCGGGGGCACCCCCCCCCCACCTACTCAGATACAAATACACTCAAATGTATACACCCTTTGCTTGGTTAATTCATTTTCTCAGGCTCAGCTTTAAGTGACAATTCTAGTTTCATAATTTTCTTTGATTATTTGTGACTTGACCCATCGACACCCATCTCTCCCCACACACTGGGTTTGCGCACCGTGACAGGAAGGATGCACCCATTCTGTTGACTTCAGTGGCCTGTTTTTACCACAGTGTTTAATCTGTCTGCCACCGGGAGGTGTTTGGAAAGACCTGAGGGCAGGGACAAGGGAAGGACGGGGACCTGGGAGAGACCCCAGGGTGATGCTTGTTGGGGTGTTGGTTTAAGGTAATGCAGAGCCCAGGAGGAGCTGGGTGTCCAGCAGGAGGTGAAACACACCTGTCTGGGAGAGGTGCAGGCTGGGAAGGGCAGTGGGGTGCGGTGGTGAGACACACAGACCCACCCCACAGTGGCAGGTTGTAGTACATACTAACTCACTGACTGAGGGAAACTGGGAACAAACCTAACTCTCTGCACCTGAGTCTCCTTATCCAGTGATAGGCTGCAAGGAGGATCAGAGGAGTTCATGATATGAAGTGTTCAACACAGGCACTTGGTGCATAGTAACTGCCCCATATATGTTCATGATTCTCACCATCCAGGGTATGTTGGGGATGGGGGTAACCGAGGCCAGAGAAGTGGGTGTGATCACCCGGAGATAAAGAAGAGGCCACTGACACAGCTTCAAAGAGCCCATCTGCAAAAGACTGGCCAGAGAGGGGAGAGGGGGAACCAGATGAAGATGGCCGCGAGGCCACCGAGGGGAGGAGCAGCCAGTGCGGCTCTGAGGTTGGCTCTGAGGTTCCACAAAGGAGGGACAGGGAGGGAGGAGCTTTCTAAATGGCATATTTTTTAGCTCGCCTGGATGCCAAGGGAAGAGAGAAAGGCATTCGACTGGAGAGAGGGAAAGGATCAGTAAGCTGGGGGAGGGGGTAGATGCTTAATTGGAGGAGGAAGCGGAGGTCTACTACCATCCATCCACTCTTCCAGGACGGGTTTTTAGGGGGCAGGACGTGGGTGGCGTGTATGGGGAACACAGAAGCACAAAGCTCTGTCTCAGGAAGGCAGAGGGTCAAAAGGGAAGTTTGAAACAAAACCTCCCCGGGAACTCAGGCCCCCAAGTTCTTTGTGACAAAACCACTGAGACCTTCAGGCAGGATGGGAGGGGGTCCCTAGACGCCCCGGACCCCTCCCCCACCCTCCGCCCTGCCCAGTAAGACCAGCCTGACCCTTCTGCAGTTCAAGGAGGGTCCCCGGCGGCCTAAGGCTAGGCGTCCGGGAGGTGGCGCTAGGGCCAGGCTTGAGGGCAGCCGTGGATTCCGGTGGTGCGGGCGGGACCCGGGGACACTGAGCGGCAGGCGTTGTCACGCGACACCCAGCCTCGCGGACTTCCTTTAAGGCAAGGGATGAATGGGAACGACCGGGCAAATCTGAGAGCAGGATTCACAGCAGCAAGAGCAGAGAGCCAATGGGATCCCTGGTGTGACAGCGAGGCAGGGACGGAGCCAATCAGCTGTGAGGACAGAGCCAGGGGAGGGATCCGCGCGGAGTTTCAAAAATCCGCTGGGGTGGGAAAGGCGCATCTGTGCTTGGTGTCTGGTGAACGTGGGAGCTTTTGGGTGAGTGCAGGCCTGGGCATAGTGCAGCTTCTCTTCAGAAGAGACCTGGGACACGGGGGCGAGGGGTGTCTAGTTAAGACAGGCATGCATGTGGGGCGTCTGGGTATTGCAAAGGGGAAATCGGGGGCTCTGGCCAGCCGGCCAGGGTCTAGGCGGGAGCGCGCTGGGTCAGGACGAGCTGTGAAAGAGACGCTGATCCTTCGCTGGGCCCACTGCTGAGGCTTGAAGAGGGGCGCTCCAGACTCTGCCTCCCTCCGCGCCTGAGGCGAAGCTGGAGAGGAGGCTGAGATGAAGAGACAGCTGTTTTAGACACAGCAAGGCACCCTAGAAAATGCCTACTAGCCTCGTTCAGCCTCTGCCCTCTTCTGGGTCTCACTGACTGTCCCCACCTTTCAGGAAGCACCCTCCTTCCCATACCCACAGTTGCCAAGTGCACACCCCATCCTGTTTCCCCTGTACACAGGGTCTCTGTGGAGCTTGGGAAAAGGGTGGAGAATGCCTTGCTGACCTGCCTTTTGGCCTCCTCCCCAGGGTCTGGCCGACAGAACAGACTGTTGGCCAGGCAGATGGCCTCTCGGTGGCCAAGCGTGGGGGCCTCCATTCGCAGGAGATCTCTGCAGGACCAGGAGCAGCTGGAGGAGGATGAGGTGCAGCCTGCGACTGGCCGTCTGGAGACCCCCAGGGGAGCCCTGGGCTCCCTCTGCAGGCAGTTTCAAAGGAGGCTGCCCCTGAGAACAGTCAGCCTCAACCTGGGGGCAGGCCCCTCCTGGAAACGCCTAGAAGCCCCAGAGCCAGGGCAGCAGGGCCTCCAAGCTGCAGCTCGCTCAGCTAAGAACGCTTTGGGTGCCGTCTCCCAGGTAACGCTGACCACGTCCAGGTCAACTGCTGGACAAGTGCTGCCCTAAGGAGCCCCCAAGCACATAGACTCCATAAAGACAAGGGCTTTATTCGTTCAGTGCTGTGTCCCCAGCACCACGAATAGTTCCTAGCACTTAGTAGGCACTCAGCAAATCAATGAGTGAGTGAATGAAAACAGTATCATGGAGAAATCATCCCCAGATGAAATCGCAAGCAGGTACCCAATGATGGGAGGGGCCCAAAAACAAGTACAGCCAGTGAACCTTCCCGGATGAGGTGATTCCACAGAACTCACTCTAGAAAGGGGAGGAATGAGGAGCATATAAGACAGGTGGAATAGTGTGAGTCCAGACTCAGAGCGGAGGGAGAGTAAGAAACTGAAGAGTGCGGGCTAGAGCTTAGTTTTGGAGTGGCCAGAGAGCAAGGTCGGGCAGTGAGAGGGGGTCCATGTGCCCAAGGTGCTAAGACACTCCCAAGAGATACTGGTAGTCTTGGGAGCCAGTGGGAGAACTTACAACTGGGTAGGAATCAGGTCTAATTAGCATATCAGACCTTGTTCTTTAGCCACTTGATAGAAAAAGAGTTAGAAGCAGATTCTCCCCTGAGTGGGGCTTGGGGGCCTGGACTACAGAGGAGCGAGCAACTTCAAGAGCTGCTCAGAGTGTAGATTGGGGCAGGGAGTGGGGGTTGGTGTCAGATGAGACATGTGGGCAGAGAGCTATCACTTAGGTTGGGTGTGAGGTGCCCAGCGGACTTCCAAGTGGTTGTCTTCAAACCTGGAGTTGGAGATGTATGGAGGTGTCACCTAGAAAGGATAGAGGCCATGAGAGTGAGGAGACCTCCAAGGAGAGAACTGGGGGCAGGAGGCGGGTTCTCCTTGGTGTCTGATTGGGAATCTGAAGTAATGTGAGAAGGGAGATGTTTCTGGCCCCTGAGCCAAATGTTAGCCCTTGTCCAGAAGGACCTATGACTATTTTAGAGATGAGACGGGGTCGCCTGTCCAAGGTCGCAAAATTCACCCAACATAACTTGGGTCTTGCTGTAATGACTCTGGACTCTGGTTTGCCAATGCAAAGAGAGCCTCGCTGAGGAAGAACCTTCACAGCCATCCCCTGCTGCTGTGAAAGGCTCAAGAGCTAGGGCTTAATCCTGTGAGCGATGAGCAACCATAGACAGGCATTGGGCAGCTGACTGTCATGATCAGAACAGCCCCTGAGAAGGATCTCTGATCAGTGTGGGGGATGGGATAGAGTAAGACCAGAAGCGGGGGACAACCTATCTCACAGTATCCTGGGGGGTAGGCTTTGCCCTTGAGTCTCTGGGTCAGTCTGTGTCCCAGAAGAGGGTTTGGATTTAGGCAAAGGGAGGGTCTATGAGCCAGAGTGGTTCGGCTGCTGACCCCTGCACTCATACCCTGGGGCTCTGAACGGGGTCCCTGCAGTGGGCCCATGTCACATGGCATCACACATACCCCTCACCCTGGAAACTAAAAGCTGCTTGTGTGTGTAGAACAGCTGACAGGTGGAGGGTCCGAGGGATGGCTTGGAGACTAGGGGGCCTCGCCCTTGGCTTGTCTGTGCTCACATTCCCATATACCTGTCTCAGAGAATTCAGGAGTCCTGCCAAAGTGGCACCAAGTGGCTGGTGGGAACCCAGGGGAAAGGCAGGAGGAGGAAGAGAGAGACACAGAAGGGCAGCAGCCCTCCAGGTCGCAGCCTAAGCCAGAGGAGCACCCGACTATCTGGACCCACCCTCGGTCGCTCAACTCCTGGCCCCTGGGAGAGGGAGTATCACCGCCTCTCCACCCAGATGGGCCCACGTGCCCTCCCGCTGCGGAGGTCCAGGAGGGAGGCTGCCTTCCGGAGCCCCTACTCCTCTACAGAGCCCCTCTGCTCCCCCAGGTAAGCGGAAGAGCACCTTGCCCCCAAAGCACTAACAGGCCACAGGGGTTTCTGAGCATCTCCTGGGGCTGCCTGGAGCCAGGAGCACCCTGAGCTGAGTCACATCCATGTACTGTCCCAGCTCTGTCCCCCGCTAGTCAGGGACCTGGGGAAGTCCTTCTGGCCTCAGTTTCCCCATCTATAAAAGGGAGAGGTGGGCTTAGCTCTGCTATATCACACCCTCCCAAGCCTCCTAGTGAGCCTAAAAGCCATTTGGAAGCCATCTTGAGGCTGAGACTCAAGTGGGGAACAGCAGAGCTCACTTTTTTGCAAGATCACCTGTCCTTGACCTTCACCTCATGAGCCTTGATCCATCTGTTCTCCACCAGCTGCTCCAAGTTGCTCTGATGTCACTTCCTGGAGAGAGGCTATGGGGTGGTAACCTGCCCCCACAGACCCCAGGCTGCAGTGCTGGGTTGGAAGGGGCTCCTGCCACAGATTTCCAACTGGTCACTGGTGCCTGTGGCTTTTTTCTTCTGCTCAGTGAGTCTGACAGTGACCTGGAGCCTGTGGGGGCAGGAATCCAGCATCTCCAGAAGCTGTCTCAAGAGCTGGATATGGCCATTGTGGCTGAAGAGAGGTAAGCTGTCTCCCATGCTTCAGAGCGAAATGGTGGGAGGGTCCTCCTTTTGTCAGACAGGCCTCTGGCTTCTGCCCACTGTGCAGCCCTGGCTAGTCCCACCCTTTCTGTGAGCCTCAGTCTCTTCATCTGCAACACGAGATGGCACAAAAGACCCAGATTGGGGTCGTGGTTAGGATACACCCTAGATACGCATGGCCCTCTGGGCTTTGGGCCACCCCCCCATTTGTGCTTCAGTGGAACTTCGCCAGGCTGGGTACCTGCTTCCCAAAGGACCTGCCCTGCCTCGAACGCTTCCCATGGCTCCCTTGTGCCCTGCCCATCCATGGAATTGGCAAAAGCTGCATGGCTGCTTGCAGCTCCTGGTCTGTCTGCTCAGGACCCCATCCCGAGGGCAGAGCCTGGGTCTGGGGCTGCCATATCCTAGAGCCATGTGTACATGGCCGTGATGGGCTCTTAGGCGGGCCCTGTTGGCTTTGACTATATGCGAGTGTGCTAAGTTCCCACCATGCTGCCGGGTGTGGTCTTGTCTGGCCCGAGTTGAGAGGGTCCCTCAGAGCCTACAGCACCCAATGGCATCTGTCTCTCCTGCTTTCCCATCTCTAGCGGTGACATGACCGTTTCTCTCATCCGTGACTGAGGACAGTGCCTTCAGGTCATGCCCTCCTCCCGAGCATCTTTCTCAGCGTCCTCTGCTTCCTCCTGTCCTCCTCCTACATGGGCACATACGTGTATTTGGAGGCACGTTAAAGAACCGAGTCTTCTGGAAAAACCCACAGAGCTTATGGCCAGCAGAGCTGGAAGTGCTCAGTCTTCCTGCCAGCTCGGAGCTGGAGTTGCTCACCTTACCAACCCGCCACCTTCTAGCCCCTCATCTGGGGGGAAGTGTCCTCAGTTCCCCTGTCCTGAGCACAGTGAGGGGCATGAACGGAGCTCTGTCTTGCAGGAAGCAAGCCATATCTCACCCCCACGTCCCCACACCTAGGGTCCATGCTCCCCTTGAGTTCCTGGTGGAAGCCCCCAGGACTTAGCCATGCCCCCTGGGCCACGTCTGAGCCCAGAGTGACCACCTGCCCCAGTCCAAGAGTGGCTAGGGGAGACCCCAGAGGGGTAGGGGGATTGATCACCCTGCTCCCCTTTTGGGCTTTGAGATGCACCCCACACTTGGGCCTTGTGGTTGTCTCTTTTCCAACATGAAGTGTAGGCTATAAAGGTGTTTGAGCACGCTGAGCTGTGTACCCGGGAATGGGGTCTGCCAGGAGTCACCGTGTTTCACCTGTGTCCCAGGCTATTGGGAACCAGCTCCCGTCCCTGCACCAAAAGAAGGGATTGGAGAGATTCTCCGGCTCTGAGACCCGAGGGCCCACAGGGACCTATTTGTGTTCTCAGCTCTGTGGGTGGCAGGGAGAGCAGCTCTGCTCATCAGCAACTTCTGCCCTTTGTAAGTTATTTAAGAAATCTGCTTTGTCATTTTAGTAGAAAGAAAGCAGTGTGTAACTTTCCTCCATAACATTGCTTTTCATAATAAAGACTCTCTCTCTGCATTTGACACCTCTTCTCTATCACCACTGCCCCCCACGCTCCGGTCAAGGTCTACGGTTTGGGGCCTTGTTCCCCTCACCCACCCACCCCCCAAGGCAACCAGCCCCCAGCTCCGGGAGAACAGGAGTAACAGGAAAGTTTTCTCAGCTTCATTCAGAGCAAAGCACATTTTAAAGGCAAATAAGGTTTTTATTTCGGTGACGTTTAAGAGTTAAAAACCAGCTCACATCAAAATCAAGACCAGTTGTAAAAATCTTTTGAACTCCATAATGCTGTTTTTTGTCTTGTTAGAAATCTGATATTTTACGTTTTCATTTCAAACGGATTTTGTACAAGGCAGCCATGAAGAATATAATAAACCTTTTTCACCACAGAACCAGCCACCACAGATAATACTGAGAGTTACACACTTAGGAACAGTCAGACCACGGACAAGACTGGACAGGCTGCCACCACTGAGTAAACAAAGAAAAGACATGGGGTCCAAGGGCAGGGGTCCCCATGAGTGAACCACCCTCCTGTCCTGTACCTCCTTGGTGTCGCCTGCCATTCCTTGTCCCCACAAGAGTGGGGTTCAACTGATATTTCTCCCAACCATTCTCTTGGTTTCTTAGAAAAGAAAGCAGGACCCAGACCAGGCCTTGCTGCTTGCACATAATCCTAAGTATAATTTTTAAGAAAGTCCCCCACAAGCCCAGAGGGAGCGGAAGGAGGGAGGTGACTTCTGGTGGCTGAGCTAAAGAGAAGAGGTTTCCAGCGCACTTGGCACCCAAACCCCCAGGGCTGGGCAGGAAAGTTGGTTGTTTAAGGCGGGGTCAGCCGTGAGGCTCCTTCGCAGTTAGTTGGGGGTGGGGCAGGGCCCGAGAGCATCTGTGCAAAACCAAACCACAGCTGGACTCTGCCCCTGGCCCAGCTGTCATTAAACGTTGATACCACCTTTGGTCTGCAGGACACTTCTGAGCATGGGCATGGGCATGGGCTCCAGGTGGGAAAAGGAGTTAAAAAGCCAGGAGACTGTGCCTTCCCTCTTTCACACTCCCCATAATTTCTGGATGCTGGGGCCCTAACACGTTTGTTCTCTCCGGCCCAGTAACCAGGCAGGAGGACCATTCACCCAAATACATGAAAAGTCTCCTTTTTCACTTTTAACATTTTGTGGAGCCTAAGGGAGAAGTCAAGCTGTGCCGGATAAACCCAGGATGCCAGAAGAGCAGGACCTGGCTGCGGGTGCACCCTGACCCCCAACAGGACGAACAGAGAGGGAGGCGGCAGGCAGGCCCTCTGGCAGGACAGCCACCAGGCTGGGAACAACAAACATGCCAAGTGAGAAACAGGGCGCTTTGGTCAGGCGGGGAGGTCTGTGTTCCAGCTCCTACGGAAGGGCTCTCTGGAAGACAGCCAGTCAGGGTCACAGAACCGCCTGGAGACAGGCAGCAGCCCCTCCAGTAAACAACACGACTGTGTTTTTATCCAACACAACTGGACGCACAAAACTGAACAAACCAGTAGCAGAGAAAGTGCATGTTGGTTGCAGTTGCCATGAAAGCAGAGCTGAAACCTGCTCCGAGTCCAGTCCCCGCACAGAGCTGCACAGGTGCACTCACGCGCCCCCTGACGCTCCTGCAGCGACCGTTCGCAGTGTCTCACTGCGCACCTGCAGCCTCGCAGGTGTGAGTCTGCAGAGCTCCAGGGCAGGGCTCCAAAAAGGAAGGGGTGTGGCCCCCCGCTAGGCCCTGCACCCCAGCTCCAACCCCCACAACCACAGAATTCTGCTCACATGGACTCAGAACTCCCCAGGGTCCTGGTGTGCGCTCTCTCTCTTTCTCTCTCTCACTCCTGCTCCAAGCCTGGGGTTCTCAGGAAAAGCAGAGGGGATCAGACAAGGAGAGAAGTATCTCGGGCTAATTATTTCAGCATTTGAGAGTAACACATGAGTGGCTTCTGCAAAAAGGAGATGGTGGAGTTTCTGAGAATCAGATTAAGTCTGCCCAGGTGTAATCCTGGGTATATTTTGGAAAGGACGGGAAGAATTCAGGGTGAGGTGGCTATGCCACACGAGCAGTGCCTTATGGAGAGCCGAGAAAGACTGAACTGCCAGGAGGAAGGACCAGAGAGGAGGCCAGGTGATCGCCCTCCCCAGCGGAGCTGCCAGCCCTGGGTGCTGCTGTAATGCAGATACGGGACCGAAAGTGAAGCAGAGACGGGCAGACCGGTCTGCCAGGCAGACGTGGCAGGAGCGGGCAGACTGGAGAAGACACATTTCTAGTAGAGAGAGCAGGGCTGGGGCTGGGAGCCCGAACCCCTCCGGCCCCGGCAGGGTGCCCCATTCACCAGCGGTGCCATCCGCCCCCACCAGCAGCTGCCATGGAGGAGGACACTGGTCACATGGGGACTGCAAGAGGTAGACATTGAGCAGAAGCGACACTGAGCTGACACAGGTGCCTGCTGTGTATACAGATGTCTGTGCCCCAGGGCGGGCTGGCCCATGACACAGAGCTGGAGCTGAAAGAACTGGGCCGCCTCAGGGGTGGGGGGTGGGGGTGGGGCTCCAAGGCTGGCCTGGGCTGCAGGAGACCAAAGCCCAGGCTACGGGAAAGGCTTTGAGGGGTCCCAGGAGAGCTAAGCCCCGCCAACCTCAAGGGATGGCCCGGGACGAAGTTATGGGCACCAAACCAAGCTGAGTGGCGGAGGGGAGGAAAGAGAATACAACAGTTTGAGCCAAAACTACACGCACCCCCAGAACTCCAGGACCTCAGCTCTATGTCTTCCAGGTGCCCAAAGGGAGAAACAGGTCTGGGTGGAGCTGGGGAGAAGGAGCCGATCGATGCCCTCTGGGAGGACGTCTCTATCCCTGGGACACTGGGTTTGGGCATCAGTGAACATAAACCTGTCCACGGAGCAGGGCCCCTGCCCCACATCTCCAGGGGCTTCCTTGGAGGTTGGGGGGACAATCGCTGCTCCCCCCGCCCACCCGGAGCGCTCCTCTCTGACTGCGGGGGAATAGAGCTCACGGGGCTCTCCAAGGAGCTCTTCGGCCTGAAAAACCTCCAGGGGCAGACAGCCTAGGAGTGAGAAACTCGCACCAACCTGATTTCAGCCGGGGAGACCCCTGGATGACATAAGGAAGGCAGGGCCCAGAGAGAGCAAGCAATGGGCTCAGGGGGCTCCCGAGCTAGACCGGAGCCCGAGGCCACAGCCTCATGGGGGAGGGCACCAGGCAGGACTCCGGAAAGAAGCACAGCAGTCCTCCAGGGCCACGGGAGAATGGTGAAGATTCTGAGGACAGGAAGGCGAGGCATGAACGACTTCGGGAGGACGGGCTGTCAGCACCAGACCCGCCCCGCTCTGGGCTGCGGACAGACGCCTGAACGCAGGGCGAGCCCAGGGGGCGTCCCCGCGCTCCCAGAAAGTGGCCACTTTGCCGCAGGAGAGCCAGGCCCAAGATGGTGACTCAGGACGTCACAGGGAGGGCAGGCACAGACATCACTCGCCTCTCCACCTGTCTGCCAAGAAGCCAGCCGCCGTGGATCCCTGGTCTGGGGCCTCTCCCTTGAGGGCCTGCCTGCCGTTACTGCAGAAGCCCGCAGAGCTCAGAAAGGAGGCTGACTTTGTCAAACCTCCTGGCAGGCCTGCACCCCAGATCACACTGACATCAGCCCTGACTTGGGCTCGAAGTCGCAGGCACGAGGGAGGCAGCAGTGGCTGCACTGAGACCCCGGATATCTCATCCCCTTGCAGCCTAAGGAGCCCCCAAAGGCCGGGTAGGGTCCCTCCCCACTGAGGTCAGACACTGCTGGACAGACACGGGAGGGAAAAAGCAGGAAAAGGCCTGTGCCGGGGAGAAGGCAGCCCTTCTGGTCCCCCGCAAGCAGCCTGGTAGGGCCCCCCTGCTCTGCGCACAGCCCGGCCCTCAGGGCACCGACTCAAACTTCGGGGGCCCGCGAGCCCAGCTGAGCGCTGGCAGGGGCCGCTCGTGGTCCTTGTCGGACTCCGGCTGGCTCTGGGCCCGCTCAGGCTTGGGGTTGGCGGGCGGGTCTGGTTGCTGCACGGACATGGTCCTGCGCAGGTGGTTGCGCTTCCGCAGGAAGTCCGGCTGCGCATGCAGACCGAAGCTGCCCTTGCGCAGGATCATCCGCGAGTTGTTCTTCTTGGGGCGCGATCGGTGGCTGGCTTCCAGCGCGGCCAGGTGGGCAGCATAGCCCTCGCTCAGGAACTGTGGAGGGAACGGGAGTCAGGCCAGCAGGGCTGGGACAGGCCCCTGGGCCGGCCGCCCACAGCCCAACATCACCTTTTCTCGGCAACGCGCGCTACCCTGGGGTCTCCAGCTTCTCCGTGGCACCCCCAGGAAACTGGAAGGTCACTAAGCATTCGAGCCTCCCCCTCCTGCTTTGGACAACTGAGCACTTCTGTCTGTACCTGTGGGTTGTTCCAGAACTCTCTGATTGTAGACGGGAGTGAAATTCCCATCCTTGTCACTTTCACGGCAATCCCAAAATGGAAGTCTCTCCCGTCCAGCATCCACCTTGCACCCCATGGCACTTAGCCATCTCCTGGCCCCCACCGCCACCCTGCTTGCCCAGCCTCCCCACTGGGCGCTCGGATGCTGCTGGAAGTGGGGGCCTGGACCATCGCTAGGCAGACTCTCAGGCCTCACCACAGACCTAGAGACTCGGGATCTGCATTTAAACAAGATCCCACACAATCCACCACCAAGCGCATTTCAAGTGTGAGGTCAGCGCTGTTGCAGGATCCCCACGCTGGGCTCCTTCCATCTTCTGATCCTCACCTGCTGGTCACTCCCAGAGTCCACGCTCAACAAGCCCCCAAAGATCATCACCTTCCCTTCCATCTGCTCCTTCAAGCTGCTTCTCAATGCCCACAATGGCACCAGGTCACCAAGCCAGCAACAGGGTGCCACCCTTGCCTTTTCATCCCCTCGTCCTGCACACCTGACCCGTTAGTGACCAAAGCCGGTCCATCCTGCCTGAAAATGCACCGTAGA